GGTTAAAGTGAATGCAATATACACAGTCCTTTGCCTCAAAAATTAAAATATTAGTGGGCAAAAATTTATTTTAACATAGCATATATAAATACAATGATATCACTAAACCACTAAAGGTTTTTTAAGTTGTAATAAAGAACCATCCTGTTTTATCCTCTCCTGTTTTTGGGGGGGTTTTTTTTGAGCTTTTTTGTTGAAATACTGACTTCTCAAATACTGTGCATGAAATTTCTTTATATGCTATCAAAATAAGTAGGAAAATTTCAGATATTCCATACAGCAATATTTTCACTGATATGTTCCCTAGAGCAAGGGACATAAAGAATGAATAAATGGGACTTCATCAAAATAATAAGCTTCTGCACAGCTAAAGAAAATATCAGCAAAATGAAAAGGGAACCAACGGTATGGGAAAATATATTTGCCAATGATACCTCAGACAAGGGTTTGATCTCCAAAATATATAAAGAACTCACACAACTCCACACCAGGAAGACAAGCAATCCAATTAAAAAATGGGCAAAGTACCTAAATGGACAGTTCTCCAAGGAGGACATACACAATGTATGGCCCAGAAACATATGAAAGGATGCTCAGCATCACTAGCCATCAGAGAGATGCAAATTAAAACCACAATGAGATTCCACTTTATACCAAGTGGAGAATGGCTCTCATGAACAAATCAACAAACAAGTGCTGGCAAGGTTGTGGAGAAAAGGGCACCCTAATGCACTGTTGGTGGGAATGCAGACTGGTGCAGCCACTGTGGAAAACAGTATGGAATTTCCTCAGAAAACTAAAATTGGGACTGCCTTTTGACTCGTCAATTCCACTGCTGGGATTATATCCTAAGAAGCAACAATTCAATGAACCCCAATGTTCATAGCAGTATAATTTACAATAGCCAAATGCTGGAAGCAGCCAAAGTGCCCATCAGTAAATGAGTGGATCAAAAAACCATGGTACATTTGCACAATGGAATACTATGCAGTAAAAAGAAAGAGCTACTACCCTTCATGACAGTGTGGATGGAACTGGAGAGCATTATGCTAAGTGGAAAAAGCCAGGCAATGAAAGACAAATATCACATAATCTCACTTATAAGTGTAACCTAATCAACAAAACAAACAAGCAAGCAAAACAGAACCAAAGACATGGAAATAAAAAACAAACTGACAGTAATCAGCGGAGGGGGAGGGGGATAACAGGTAAAGAAGGAGAAGGGTCGTCAAGGAACACCTGTAGAGGACCCATGGACAAAGACAACAGTGCGGGGCGGGGGGACTGAAGGTAGGAGGTAGGGGTGGGTAGGGCAGGGGAAAGTAATGGGGGAAAACGGAGGCAACTGTGACTGAACAACAATAAAAAAAAATAAGTAGGTAAATTCAATGAAGACTTTGGAAAATTTTGATGAGAGCATTCTCATTAAGGAACATTTTTCTATATTTGATTCACGCAGAATTTTGTTCATTTTTGACCAGTTGCCTGGGGAAAATATTTTTTCTTTATATCAGAAAGAAAAACACTAGCATTTTTTAAGTCTAGTGTTTTCCTTGAGTTGATACACCATAAGAACTTCTCTCTGAGTTTCAGATGTGCCAGTATTGATACCTTGTTATAATATTTTTTACTATAAATTTGATTACTACTTTGCATATTGTGCTACCTTGGTGTAATATTACTTTTTTTCAAACTACTCCCAAGGCTTATGCTTCACTAATTAAGATTTTCAGAAAATCTATTAAGTACTTATACCAGAGTGCCTGTGATTAAGACGTTCCCAATATATTATTAATTCATGTTCACTTTTATGTGGTAGCAACCTGAAACGGAGATGACAGTCCTGTTATTATGTGAATTGGGCCAGAACACATTATAAAAGGTACATTCTCTGCTGCCCTGTGACTAAATTTTTTCAAGGGTTCCTACCCCAAAATGATCTCTAATCACACACATTTAAGAAGAGAGTAAATCAAATACCTTAAAATAATAAAACACAGGTGAATTTAATTTTCCATTATCCTACCTCTAACTGGAATTTGCCTTAAGACTTGCTCTCAAAAAGGCATTATCCTGTTCCTACTACCAGGACCTCTGTGGCTTTTATTAGATCACCTCATCACCACAGAGAGGAATAGAGCAATTTGGCACATGTAATTCAAAAGAATTTCTCCAAAACTTCTTTGAGGTAATATCATAAGTTCCTTTGATTTATACCTTACAAGAAAATTAGATCTTAAATTTAACTCCACAGGAACACATCTTTGGTAGTTATTACAAATAGAGCAGGTTTCCTGCCTGGGGACATTGTCTACTGCTTGAGGATTGCACTTACTATTAGTATGGAAAATGGAACATCTATACATTTATCTGGCTCAAAAATTGCCCTAAGAAGGGATGCCCACTATCTCCACTATTATTTCACATTGAACTGGGAATACTGAATAATGCATTCAGACATAAGAATATAAGTAGAGGCATGAGAATTAGACAAAAATAAAACTATTCCCATGTGCAATTGATGAGATAACATTCTTTGAAAACCTGAGTGAATCAATAATAAAATTAACACATACATAAATTATATGGTGTAACAGGATACAATTTTAACATATGAAAACCAATAGTCTCATATAAATAAACAATAACAAGCTGGAAGACATAATGGAAGAAAAACTTCTTTGCAACAAAAAATATAGAATATTTAGGCATTAACTTGAAAATAAATATGTAAAATCTGTATGAGGAAACCTTTAAAATATCCATAAAAGCACAAAAGTAGATTTAAATAAATGAAAAGACACTTCATTTTTAGAAAAAAATGACTCAACATAAAAGTTCTCCTCAAGTTATAATGTAAATGTGAGTGAATAAAATCCAACAAGTAGGAAAAGACAGAGGAAGAACTCTATAAACTGATAGGAAGCGATTTCTAGGATACAACTTAATTTAGAAAAGAAACATCCAACTATACATGGTATACTACCTTTTGTGTAAGAAAGAGAGATTAGACTATATACATATATTTTTATACAGATACAGATAGGGGGTGTGTGTGTTTGTATATGTATATTGCAAAATAGAAATACAAGGAAGATAAACATGTGAGTCTTTTCAGAATATACAGTTTTAATTTTGAACATAAATGTTTACATATTCAGTAATAAAATTAAAAAGAATGAAAAAAGATTAACCCTACACTTGTATACAAATGAACCTAACTATATATCAAATTGATAAAATAACTCAAAAAAGTTCATTCTAGTAAATTTTGAACATAGTACCCTGACTATATATCATTAATGGGTTTTTTCCTAAGTACTAGAAAATCTGAAAAAAAAAATTCTGAACTTTATTATTAGTTTAATTGTTGATAATAATATTGATGTAGTAATATTGGGCCTATTTTGTATATCTATATAAAAGAGAAAATTAGTGAATATATTGATATCATTGGAAACCAATGTTTTCACTGAGAGAGAAAGGAGATACTAATTTGGAATCAATTACAGTGTTGGACTTAAATTGTAGCCATCAGTGTGAATTCCTGATATATACCTATCTATCTCTATATCTATATAGCTATCTCTCTCTATAGATGTAGATGATATAGATCTCTTAGCTCTGTTTAATGAATGGGTTTAGAAGAATGACACCCCACTAGCAACCAACTTTCTGACCTGTTTCTAAAAACATTTCACACTAAAAGGAATCAGGGCAGCTTCTTGCAGTAATGCCTGGTCCTGAGAAAGGATCAGGAAAGTAAAGGTGAACCTGGGACATCTTTTGGCAGAAGTATGGAGACATGTGAAAATGAGCCAAGGGCTTGGTGGTGGGATTGCAAAATGGTATAGACACTAAGGAAGCCAGTACAGGAGTTCCTCAAAAAATTGAAATAGAACTTATGACCCAGCAATTCCACTTCTGGGTATTTATCCAAAGAAATTTATAACACTAATTTGAAAGAATACATCTACCCCTATGTCCACTGCAGCATTATTTACAAGAGCCAAGATATGCAGCCAATCTAAATGTCTATCAATAGACAATTAGATAAAGAAGATGTGTTACAGCCACATCTTCTTTACCTGTCTATTGATAGACAATGGAATATTTTATGTCTATTGTCTATTATGTTTATTGTTTATTTATATCCAATGGAATATTACTTGGCCATAGAAAAGAATGAAATCTCACCGTTTGTGAAAACACCAGTGGGCCTAGAGGGTATTATACTAAGTGAAATAGATCAGACAGAAAGACAAATACCATATGATTTCACTTGCAGGTGGAATCTAAAGAATAATATAAACAAATAAATTAAACAGGAACAGACTCAAAGATACAGAGAACTGATGGTTGCCAGATGGAAGGGGGGTTGAGGAAATGGGTGAAAAAGATGAAGGGATTAAGAAGTCCAAATTGGTAGTTACAAAATAGTCACAGGAATGTAAAGTACAGCATAGAGAATACAGTCAGTAATATTGTAACAACTATGTATGGTGCCAGGTGTGTACTAGACTTATTAGGGTGATAACTGTGTAAATTATATAAATGTCTAACCAGTATGCTGTATACTTGAAACTAATATAAAATAATACTGAATGTCAACTGTAATTGAACAAAAAGGATCCAAGAGCTGTCTCAATAGAATCCCATTTGCGGCTCTGGCCGGGTAGCTTAGTTGGTTAAAGTGTTGTCCTGATATTCTAAGGTTGTGGGTTTGGTCCCCGGTCAGAGTATATACAGGAATCAGCCAATGAATGCATAATAAGTGGAACAACAAATTGATACCCCCCTTTCTCTAAAAAATCAATGAAAGCTCAGTTTAAAAGAAAAAAGAATCCCACTTGCCATGTTTGGCAACAATCCGAGCATTGAAAAGAATAATGTAGGTAATGGATTACAACATAGTGAACAACAGAAAAACCCATAAATCCACAGTGATACTCATAAGAAAGCAGAAGGGTATGAAGTGCACTTCTTTTTTTTCCTTTTTTCAGGGAAGAGCACAAACACAGTCTCCCACTACCACAAATTATGCAGCTGAGTCTCCCACTTTCGGGGAAATGGCAGGGGTCAGCCCATCCAGAGTGTGATGGGTGAGCCTCGCCCTGGGAAGGCTGCCTTTGTGATCATGGGATCTCCCCTGCCAGATAAATACTGAAAAGTATTTCTTTACAAAAGAATATCACTTAATGAACGTAAAATAATAATAGCATTAGAATTGCCTTTTTTTTTTCCAAACAGAAATAACTTATTTAAGCAAAAATCATCAGTGGGTAGAAAAATAGAAAAACTATGGAGCGAAAAGATAGTGGGCATAAAATATTCACAAAGACCTTCCAAAGTATTCCCAAAATGTAAGAGTCCTTTACAACAAGGAGATTTGAGAACACCGTCATGACCAAGTGGTCAACGTTAGCATTAGCAATAATGGGACAAGCCAACATTCTATACTTCCTTATATGAAGTACTGAGAAGTATACCCACGTACAATAGCATTTTTGCAACAAATTTTTAACATGATTTTTGTGACCCATTTTATGAAAAACAGTAAAAGTTATAATAGTAAGTCAAGTACAAACATGAACGTTTACTTGGAATGAGAAAGAAGTCATGTCTAAGTACCACTTTTAAGAGCTCATACCACAAACAGAAAAATCCTGAAAATATAAATTTTTTATTAGCCAACTGCCTAGTACATATTTTATTTTTACTATAATCTCATTTTTATAGCACAACTTACATATTTCAAATGGACAAAATAATAGTATCAATTACAGTATCTTAAATTGCCTCCAAGGAGAGCTTCCTTTCCAGTCCTTTGAAGTCTACAAGATATATCTAGAAAATGTACTCCTGTGGACAATGAAAACTGCTTAAATTGAATGGGCGTGGGTGGTGTGGCATGAGAGCCTGTGGTTTCTCTTTTTGATTAATTGCTGTAACACTTGTAACACTGTCCTTCAAGTGGCTGAGGGATTTTCATATTTCTTTTCAACAACATTGGGTGCTGAGGCTCCTGCCGGCCAACTTTGATGCTACATGAATTCGGCCATTTTGTTAGCACTGATATGGCCATTGCATCCTTTACTCCATTAGAACTACTAACTCCATTCATATTAATTTTTGTTACAAATCTTACAAAGGGGAGAGCTTCTGTACATTTAGGTCCACATTCTATTTTAAGGCTGTATATTCAGTTTCCATAAATTGTCTGAGCCCGTGGTGGCTGCCACCTTGCATTGCTGTCACGCCCTGACTGTAATCTCTTGATCACCTTTTCATGAAACACCAATTTTTAAATATTTTTTTACAGTAAATAGAAAGGCAATTTGGGCTTTCATCAAGTACTGCTAATCAAAATTTATGAAACTCAAGTTTTCAGAAATTTTCTGCTTGTTATTGTTGATGTCATAAAAGTTTAGGATTGTGGTTAAATTTGAAAAAAATTCTCTACCAAGTTTATTTCATGTATGAATGGTAAGATTCAGGCATTATTGAGTATACTGTGGATAGGAGAGAACTTCTGCTTTAACTGAGCATTAATAAAAGCCAAACACTCAGCCACAATTATATGCAATGATTATTAAAAGAATCTGCCACAGACTAACTACATTTCCGTATATTCCAAACTTCATTTTTCCTTCAGCATCCTCATAGTTCTGGGAGTAGGAATTGTTGGCACACCTTTGTGTAAAATGCTGGGTGAATTGTGGCAGGAAGTGGCAGGAGATTTTCTGGAAGCACATCCTATGCAGTGTAACTAACAGTGATATGACTACCCATGGACTTGACTGTGAACCATATAAATATATTTTTCTAAAGCCAAAACTCCAGAGCTATTCTAGGACCTACTGGCAGGTGGAGAATTATGACAGGAGGAGAAGTTGCAGAAGAAAACAACAATTGTCTTAAACAATGGAAATAAAACTATCTTATTTTTGCAATTTTTTTCTAAAACATATAACCATGTGAACATATTACTAGGGATTAATCTTCACTAGTTTCATGGTAACCCCATCTCTGGCCATTACTACAATACAAAGTTGTCCTTTCCAGGTCTGTAGTGGAATCTGCTGAAAAGCCAGGAATACAGGGACCAGGCTTTGTGGCCTTTTCCATCCATCCCATGCCATGCACATTTGAATAAGAGAAATAGAAAAATATATTTTTACTCCTCTGTTAGTGATTCTTTATTTAAATTTGTCCGCATGCAGAAGTAGGGGTGAATAAAAGAGCCTTTTTAGGGCACATAGTAGTTATGTGTCCTAACAGAACATTGTTCAGACATTTTTAATTACAGAATCATTTGAGTGCTCCATAATTGTACAGAAAAATATTTCAAAAAACATTTTCAAAACTAATAAAGGTTCAATGTTCAACTGAAAATGTATTAAATGAAAGGGACTAATTATGATCTTATAGACAAAAAGGGAGGGATTAAAAATAATGTCCACAAAGGCATTTTAGCATAAAACTACAAAATCCAACAGAAGTTATTTGTAAAAATAAGGGTAAATATCATTCTGTGCATTTTCCCTCTTCCAAGGGAAGAAGTTATTTATGTAGAAAATCTGATGGGATATTTCCTTTATAAAGGAGGTGGCAGGTGGCTGTTTGTTGGAGTGTGAAAAACAAGTTGAATCATTTGGATGTAATTTGAAAAGAAATTAATGAAATGACAAAAATACAAGTGAGGAGTAATTTCCCCTTGGAAATTCTTCTATACAGAAATTTAGAAAGATCTCAGAATTAGAGAAGACAATAAACAATATATCTAAAAAATAACTGCCAATAAAAAAAGAGATGGATTATTTTGTAAGGTAGACAACAAAAAGATGCTTATCTTTCAAAATATATTCAATATACTTTTCTTTATCTGCGATTTAAAAAACGATTTACACACAAGTCTACTGAAGTACAACACATGCACCACTGCACTATATTCTCTTATTACAGCCCAAAGAAACTAACAAAGATCGATTTTTCACTTGGCTTTAGTAGAATCCGATATATGAGCCCTTTTTGACTTTTTTTTTTTAACGCAGGGGGCATATTTGTATACATGTATGGGCCTGTATGCTTTCATATCCATAGACTGAAAATCTAAAAACTTATCTTTTATTTCTACTTGTGTCACCATGTATTTGTTTTACTTTGGGAAAATTACTTAAACTGAACCTCATCTGTGTAATAAGAATTAGAGTGTATAATATCTAAGATTTCTTTAAGTTCCAACATTATGAGTCCATGTATATCCGACCGAATGTTAGTATTCTTTTACTCAGGGAAATGGATAAAATAGAATTTAGGCTACTGAAAAATGAAAATAATAAGACATTTAATGACTAAAGTAACTAGCTGGAGAGTATGAACTACCCTAAGATTATTTTAGCCTTGTGCCTAATGCTGTCATAGCCAATTTGCTGACAAATCCCAAGTTTATATACCCAGAATGAATGGATTTGAGCTTCAACCAATGTAGTAAGCAACTGACTATACCTTTATGACTTGTAAGTTTCTATAAAGCCAAACCCTTGACCCTGCTTCTGCCCACCTCACCCTGGAAATAATGCATTCTATGCTACCTCTGTCTGCGGCCTTCCTGCTCCCCAGCGGCTCAATTGAGAAACTTTAGCATAGCCACTTCTCTTCATTTGAAGTGTAAGCCTCCTACCTATACCACTGTATTTTCTCACTTGGGCTTTTATAATAAATAGTTTAGTGCCTTCCTTTCTTATACTTTTATCCCTTTATTTAATTATTCCAGCATGACCTAAAGACATAAATTATTCAAGGAATACAGAAAGGTACAAAGAATGATGTAAAACTTCTCAAATCTCTCACCATTTGGAAATATTAGACAAATGTTACTGTAAACATCTCTTTACAAATTTCATTTGGTAAGTGGATAAACAGCAGAAGTTATTTTTAAAAAGAGACACTAATATGATTGTATTTTCCTAATTTTAGATTTTTAAAATTTTAAATTGATTCGTCATGATCTTTTCGATTATCAATTTAAACATTGTCTACTGACTTCCCGCCATGGTAAATTAGCTTACCATGCTTCCCTAAACGCCCCTCTCTCCTTCCCGCCACAGTAATTATTTAACTACTCTTAGTTACTCTTTTAGTCACTTTTATATCCCCAATAACATATAAACGGAGGGACCAACGCGGGTTTACAGTTGTAAGTATGCGAAATACAGAGTTTATTTGTGAATTTTTATTTATTAATTATAGTATTATTTTCCATAGGAACAACTGTAAACCTACTTCGGCCCCACCTTGTATTTTCAGTTTATTTCTGCTCCAGTAAAAACAGTCTATCTTTACCCTGTTTAAGGTGAGGCCCACAGTGCCTTCCCCCTTCCAGTCCCTGACTCTTGCAAGCCTTGTTTTCACTTTCATATTGGCAAGACCAAAAAAATTGCCTTCTGTTTTATAACCACAATTAAGTTTTCCCTAAGTTTTGCCTTTGTTTAGATTTGAGAGGTTGAAAAGCAAACATTGCTTTACACTCATACTAACTATATAAATCTGATTACATACACATTTTTGTACAGGACCCCTCTTCTTGAAAATTTCTAATTGCCTTTCTTATCTTTAGCTAATTCTTAGGTTTGTTCTTCCAGTTTCAAGGACACTATCAAGTCTATGGACTATCCTCCCCGCCGCCCCCCAACTCACACACTCACACACTCTCTTTTATTATTGTACACTTATTATTTCTGGTCCTTATATCAGGACCGACTTCGCTGCACAGAGTCATCTTAGGTCTTTCTCCTTCATTATTGTCCTCAGTTAGATTATGTCCTACAGCTATATCCTATGCCTTTCTCATTTTTAGTTACTTTCTTGTTTTTCCTGCCCCTGCTTAAGGAACCTCATAAAGAAAGATGCATAGGAGATAAATGTTCTGGGTGTCCTTAGATATTTGATAATACTTTTATTCTACAATTATACTTGATTTACAATTTGGCTAGATAAAGACTTTCAAGTTCATTATCACTTTTGATCAGAGTTTTGAAGGCAATGCTTCTTCCATGTTGGCAATCAGTTTTGCTACCTTTTCTCTGAAAAGTTCTTTTTAACCTCAGTATTCTCAAATCTCTCAATATTATATTTAGGAACAGATGTTTACTTGTGCTGAAC